ATGTAAATAATACACGTGTTTGGCTCATTGTATACTGATCTATTGTTATGCATGTCTGTACTAGAAAAGAAAACATTGTTTGAAAACAAAACTTTAAACGAGTAAATTAGCATGCATTGCTTGGTTTAAAAATAAATATGATAAAATTTAAATATATATATTTTCTTCAGTTGAAGCATTGCTAAAAGTCTAAATGATTCATTTATGGAAGTTTTGTGTACTTTTGCTCCTGTCAAACAGCGACACCTTGTGGACACTTGGCTTCAATTAAAGTGTTAAAAATGACAACATTAAACTACCTCTATTTGCACAATGATCATGCATACATTGATCATCTTAATAAAATAATGGCAATCATTATTTCTGAAATGATGTTAGCAAAATCAGCGAAGAAAATAAAAAATCAACGATAGAATGCACTGAACAAAATATAACCATTGTAAAATTAATATACAACGTAAGTCATATTTCAAAATATGCACTTTTAAAAATGTATATTTTTTTATTTATGCTTGCAAAAATGTTTAAAACAGATGGATGTGAAGTTCATTTTTGTTCCAGTGCATTAAATCTGAGATCAGATGTGAAAATGGTTTCATCATCCAGAAAACAGTAGGATGTGAAACGTAAAGGTACAGTATATAGTGCTGGATATAAAAGTTCAGGAGCTATATAATTTGCCCATCTTAGCGATCTACTCTGCTGTTTATTTTACATCCTCGTTCTCATTTCAAACAATATCTGAAGGAACGTCACAACTTTGTAAGGTAAGAGATGAGATAATAACCATCAATAAAGTATTCTGATTCTGAAGATAAAACTTTATTGATCCACAGTGGGGAAAATTGCACGTTACTGCAGCTCAGTACAGGAGAGGGTGAGACAAAATAAAGAAGGTAGGCTGTATGTAGCTGCTAAATCTTATTTATTTGCTTATCTTGGCAGCATGGTGTATGTGTGGTTAGCATTGTTACCTCACAGCAGTGGTGGAGAAAGTACTCAAACGCTGTACTTAAGTAAAAGTACAGATAAACAGACAGGAATGTACTCTAGTAAAAGTAAAAGTACCACATTAACATTTTACTTGAGTAAAAGTAAGTAAGCACTTGCTTTTAAAAATACTTAAAGTATTAAAAGTAAAAGTACTTGCTTAATGTATTCCCTAATGGTCTACAATATCATAAAGTGTGCCTGCTGTATGTATATTTTTAATACATCAATGGTGCCATTTTAATGAATAAAGCTGCAGATAATGCATAGTTTTGTGTTTACACTCTGTGACACTGTTGTGATTCTGTGCATCCTCACAGATTATGACAACAGCTGCAGAAGCTGTAAATTCACCACCAACCTCCTCTATTAAATCTCAACAAGTCATTTTTTTAACCAGTTAACTTGAATAAGCATTTTAAATAAGGCCATGAATGGCACATTTCCTCGGTGGTGGAAACCATTGTGGGCATGCTGCTGCTCTGCTTTTTCATGAAGGAGGGTCTAATGGTACTTTCCTGCTTTGCAGTGGTTCAATGGACCAATTACAAAAATTCCCCCTCTCGCCACTGGTTACTTTTAAACTAAAAAAAAACAAATAAACCACACAAAAATTTTAAAA